GCGTGGTCGTGCTGGGGCGTGGTCGTGCTGGGGCGTGGTCGTGCTGGGGTGTGGTCGTGCTGTGGTGAGGTCGTGCTGGGGTGGTCCGCACCCTGTGATTTAGCACCGCGAGCAACGACAGGCAACCACTCAACCAGGACAACCACGAGGAGACGCGTAACGCACGCAACGGTACGGGCGCCACTCATCAAACACACAGGGAGTCCGTGGCTGCATCGGTTGAGTGGTTGCCTGTCGCCGCCCCCTGGGCGGATCCCCCTCGTAGTCGTCGTCGTCGTCGTCGTCGTCGTCGTCGTCGTCGTCGTCGTCGTCGTCGTCGTCGTCGTCGTCGTCGTGGTCGTGCTGGGAGGTGGTCGTGCTGGGGAGTGGTCGTGCTGGGGCGTGGTCGTGCTGGGGCGTGATCGTGCTGGGGTGTGGTCGTGCTGTGGTGAGGTCGTGCTGGGGTGGGGTCGTGCTGGGGTGTGGTCTTGCTGGGGTGGGGCCGTGCTGGGGTGGGGTCGTGCTGGGGTGTGGTCGTGCTGGGGTGTGGTCGTGCTGGGGTGGGGTCGTGCTGGGGTGGGGTAGTGTTGGGGTGTGGTCGTGCTTGTCGTGCTGGGGTGTGGTCGTGCTGAGGTGTGGTCGTGCTGGGGTGGGGTCGTGCTGGGGTGAATCTATAGGCACATACGTAAGAAAACAAGCGTTTCGCTCGAGACATCCTCGGCAAACTCTGCGGAGCAAGCGTTTCGCTCGAGACATCCTCAACGCACGAAAAAGTGGCCCGCACCCTGTGATTTATCGATCGGGATTTCAAAAACAAGCGTTTCGCTCGAGACATCCTCAACAATAATTTCGCCGGCCTCCTTCGACCTCGATATTTATCAGGGAATAATTTCGCCAGCCTCCTTCAAGTTGGGCACGGGGGACTATGTTTACATACTAAAAGAGAACCCTGGGCCGACGCCCTTTCCGGGAAAAAAGGGCCCGGCTAATCAGCCTACGCGCAGCCGGCCTCCCAGACGCCTCGGGGCAATTGGCCCCACCGTGCATCGAGGAGAGTGCCTGGCGGCGGGGCCGAGACCAGCTGCACGCAGTTCTTTTGCGTATAACAGCCCCCCTTCGTCCGCCCCACCCTCTAGAAGCTCGGGACGGCTCTCGCAGCTCTCTTGGGCTGTTCGTGGAGCCTCGTCGGGGTCTTTTTGGGGCCTCTCAGGGTTCGGGGGTGTGTTGGGGGCCTCTGAGGGGTCCCGGAGGCCTCTCGGAGGTCTCTGGAAGCCTCCTGCTCCTGCTCTTGGGCCCATCTTGGGGCTGTTCTGGGGTGGCCTGGGGCTGTCCTGGGTGCCTCTTCGGCAGTCTTGGAGCCTTTTTGGCCCGTCTTGGGGCCGTCCTGAGGCTCTCTTGGGTGGTCTTGGGGCGGTCTTGGCCGGCTCTTCGGCGCTCTTGGACCATTGGAAGCTCGAAAACGCGAGACGCCAAAAACATGGAAACAACCAGTGCAAATCTGCGATTTTGGCCTCTTCGGGCCGTCCCAGGATGTCTCTCGGACCTCTCTTGGAGTCTCTTGGAAGCCACCTGGGAGCCTCGAGAGCCGTCGGAAGACTGACTTGGGCTGCTTGGGCGTCTTGGACCATCCTTTCGCATTGAGGGGGCTCCTGGGAGGCGTTTTGGGTCGTCCTGGGGCGCTGTGGAGGATCCCCGGAAAGGCCGGGGGAGAGGTCCTGGGAGAGTCCCCGAGATGTTCCGGGGAGGTGTGGGACCCGGGGCCGGGGGGGGGGTAGCGGTATTTAGTCATATTTATATCCAAACACAGCCTAATCGCACGCTAAGGATGCGCGATGAGCCCGCAAGGACCTCGGAGGGCCAGGTTAACCTTTTGTTGGGACGGGGTTGGCCAGCGAAAGTCGCTGAGGATGGGCCGAAGGTGCTGCAAGGATGCAAGGGTAGCCTTAGAAAGCCGATAATCCGTACTATGCGGGATTACTGTATAGACAAGCGCGTTCCAGAACTGGACAAGGAATTACTCGCATATGGCCTGGATCCACCACCGCATGTGTTGTGTGGCAGGGGGCCACCGTTTTTGAGAGACAGCGCACCGCGTGTCTTCCTCCTCCTCCTCCTCCTCCTCCTCCTCCTCCTCCTCCTACTCCTCCTCCTCCTCCTCCCCCTCCTCCTCCTCCTCCTCCTCCTCCTCCTCCTCCTCCTCCTCCTCCTCCTCCTCCTTCCCCTCCTCCTCCTAGGCAGCATCGAATCGGGACATCGGATCGGATCGGGCCGTGCACCGAATCGGGCCGCATCGGCACTGGGTCGGAGCCGCGCCGGATCGGCCGCGCCAGGATGCGCAACATCACCATTGAAGGGGCCCCATATTTTCCCATATGTTCACATCACCAATGAACAGGACACACAAATAAATACACACAAATAAAGAGGTCCCCCATATTTTCCCATATGTTCTGGGTTTTTGTCTTCCCGCCCAATTCCCATATTTTCCCATATTTTCTTGGGGATCGACGATTAATTGTGACTATGTATTTTTTCCCCTCCTGGACCATGCAGGCATCGGGCCGCAGCGGATCGCCCCAGAACCGAAATCGCAGTCGAGTCGGGCCGGCCGGAGCCGACCTCGAATCGGCTCGGCCGGAACGGAATGGACCCCGGCTTCCATGGCCCGAGCTTCAGGCTCGCCGAATGACGCGGCGGAGGCTCTGGGCAACACCCGGGCGACGAGAAAAAAACGGGTCTTACGCGAGATGACTCAGAGGCCTGACGCGGTGGCTTGCGCGGGCCACTGGCGCGGCACGCCACACTGGAGACGAGGGCGCTCACGGGCGACCTTACGCGGGCAGCCTGCGCGACAGTGCCGGCGAAGACGACCCCGTTTCTTGCGTGGTCTACCTGAGGAGGAGGAAGAGGGGGAGGAGGAGGAGGAGGAGGAGGAGGAGGAGGAGGAGGAGGAGGGAGGAGGAGGAGGGAGGAGGAGGAGGAGGAGGAGGAGGAGGAGGAGGGAGGAGGAGGAGGAGGAGGAGGAGGAGTGAGGAGGAGGAGGAGGAGGAGGGGAGGAGGAGAAAAGGAGGAGGAGGAGGAGCAGGAGGATGAGGAAGAGGAGGAGGAGGAGGAGGAGGAGGAATACTAGAAGGAGGAGGAGGAGGAGGAGGAGGAGGAGGAGGAGCAGGAGCCTCCAGACGGCCCCAGCTTCAAGCTCACCGAGCGACGAGGCAGAGGCTCTGGGATCGGAAAGGCCCGCTGCAGGATCTGCCGGAGCCCGGCCGCACCCCATCAGAAGCCATCGCGAGGCCCCACGGCTAACATCGGCGGCGCGGCGTCCATCTCGAGGCTCTGGCAGCCCGTGCCCGACCGAAGCAGGCGATACGGTCGGACCTGGGACAGAAGAACGTCCTTCAAGAACACGAGACTCCCTGGCGGCCAAAACACACAGAACGATCGAGGTTACCCTCCCCCATTGCACAAGAACGTCCAACGAGCATGAAAATCATCAGGGCACGCTCCCCGAGCCGACCTCGATCTTGTACCTCGGTCTGACCGCAGTCGAGAGCTCGTCCCAAGCCGTTCTGATCTTGGAGCCTTCATGCGCAAGTTACAGCGCCAATCAGCCTCTGAGGCACCTTGGAGAAAATGCGACAACGTTCGGCCGATCCACAGGGTGGCTCGAGGGGCAGGAGGAGGGGGAGGAGGAAAAGAGGAGAAGGAGGGGGAGCAGAGGAGACGGAGGAGGGGGGAGAGGAGGGAGGATGGGGAGGGGGAGGAACTCTCGCTTCATCCACCCCTCGTTCTATCCCCTCTCCCCCCCCCGCCCGTCGCCCCCCCAGAGATCCGATGTCTTGAGTTGCTCAAGGCGCGGCCCTCGAAATCCCAACCCCTTCCTCAGGGCAGCTTTTTCGTCTCGAGCGTCTTGATGCCAGCCCTGGAACCTGGCGAGGGCCCCCAGAGGCCGACAACGACGTTGAAGCCCTCTGTTGTTGACCCGCCCTCCCCCGCTCCCTTTGAGAGGATCTGGACGCCCAGAACGGGGCGACCAAAAATGGCTACGGAGCCCCCAACAGCAAGTGCTGCCCAGAACCGCCAGCGGCAACTGCTGGGCAGGGGGCCCTCTGCCTCGAGTGGGCGGGGTCCGCGGCGACACCGACAACGAGTCCTGCTCCACATGGGCAGGGGATACTGTCGCGGCTGGGGGGGGGTAGGGGGGGAGGGAGGGGGAGAGGGGGAGGGGGAGGAGGAGGAGGCAGAGAAGGAGAAGGAGGAGGCGGAGGAAGAGGTGAAGGGTGATGACCAGTGTAAACCCAAGAGCCACCGACAATGTTGGGATCCACCCTTCCTCCAAGCTCCCTCCCCAGAGGCCTACCACGGTTCGCTTCCATGGAGGGGGCTGCCTCGTTGGAGCCACCGTTCGAAGACCCTGAAGCATGCCAGAAACACTGCTCTCGGGATTTCACCGCCACGGGTCCACCTGGCCGCTGCGCCTTGACGATCCCGAAGCGTCGTGCGCCGAGGCCCTGTCGCGGGCCCTGGAGGCCAGACGCCGCGCTTGGAAACAACGACTCGTCGGGGATCTGGGGAGGAGGTCGGACAGGGCAGGGCTGCGTTGTGAACGTCTCGGGCTGTCTGGCGAGAGCCGGCGGGTCGGAGAAGGGGGGGCCGAAAAGTCATTCATTGCCCCTGGATCTGGAGGATGCTGCTGTTTGTTGCGTCGTCGTCGTCCTCGCCCGCGACCCGCCCGCGACCCGCCCCCGACCCCGCCACCGTCGCCATAGTCGTCGCTGTCGTCGCCGTTCGCCGCTGTCGCCACAGTCATCGTCATCAGCTGTCGTAACCGCCGCCACCGTCATCGTCGCCGTCGTCGCCGTCGTCGTCGTCGTCGTCGCCGCCGTTGCCGTCGCCGTAGCCGTCGCCGTAGCCGTCGCCGCCGCCGCCGCCGTGGTCGCCGTCGTGGTCGCCGTCGTGGTCGTCGTGGTCGTCGTCGTCGTCGTGGTCGTTGTCGTCGTCGTCTCGCGGGGCGCGCGCGGGGC